AATGGCCCCCTCAAAAAAAAACAATCACCTCAATAAATGAGGTTTTCTTTTGAGGGGTAACATACACATGGGGGAAAGAAAAGGAGAGAAGGAGGGAGGAAGAGAAAAAGCTAGGAGTCATAGAGCAAAAATGGAGGGAAAGAAGAACTAACTACCCATGGATGAGACACCTACTAGTGCATAATGACACCAGGGCTCTCCCAGGGGGAACTGGATGCCTGAGTCCAATGGGAAGGGAAAATGTCATTGCATTACCTTTGGAAACATTTAAGTTTTGAACCATATAAATGTGTGCTCTATCTGTCCAAATGTGTTATCTATTAATTCAAAATATAAATGAGTTTAAAATGCAAAAACAAGGACAGCAGTAGCAGCAACAAACAGAGCCCCCAGTGCATGGTGTTAGAGATGGTCTTATATGGGGGCTAGTTGGAGCCTCACTTGGGAAGAAACTTAATGAATCATCATTCCAAATCACTGTTTGAATTTATTTAACAGAGAGGAGAAGACTTCAGTTCTGTTCCTAAACCACACCCCTGTAGACAATATCTTCATCAACGAGAAATAATCCTTCAAACTGCAAACAAGCACTTCATTATCTCCTGTGTGCTTAATTTGCCAGGTGAGTGCCATTTGCAATAGAGGTTTCAAAATTATCTCAATCCTCAGGAATTTAGCAGGGACTCTGGAGACAAAGGCACACATTCCTCGTTATCTGTTATCTAGCTCTGACCTAGTTCTGGCCATCGTCCCCATCTAAACAGGAAGAGAAATCTGAAGTTGCGATACATTATTTACTAGGATGAACCAGTAATTCAGACTGGAAAAAAAAAGCAATAAGAGCTCTGAAAAGCTTAAAACATCTTGAAGTCTGTTTCATGAAGGAAGGAGTCACGACTAATGTTGGCGCAGGTACTTAGGAAGATAGTGGATAGAGATGAGAGGTTAATGGAGAGGACCGTGCTGGGATAGTGCGTAAAATACATATGCATAAAAGGAGGAGAAAACTTCAACTCACTTTCTCGGTTTCGTGCAACTGGATTCTGTTGTTTGTTTTACCTAAGGATTTAACAAACCTGACGCCAAAACTATTTGTGAACTGGAAATAACCCTATAAGTCACTGCCACCTTGAGACTACCATCAGGTAAACACTCTCGAAAGTTAGAAGGTAATGTATAAAGGCATTAGATTCATTTAACAATTATTTTTATTTATTAGAGACTCTCACCACAATGCTCCCACAACCCCAAACCAAACGTGTTATGATTTTAAAAAGAATTAGACTCCTCTAGTTTTTATAACAATTTGGAAACATGACTATGAGGCACTTCATCCAATAAAAATGGCAAACTTCCCTCAGTGACATTGAAGATAAGTCAATCATGACTCCAAACTCATCCACCCAAAACATGAATGCATTTAAAAAGGAAACAAATAGGGGAGAAAAGTCCCAATATTCTTAAAATGCCATCCCCATGCCAAGAAGAAGGTCCACTGAGATGCCATAAAAACAGAATAACGCCACCAACCTCCATTTATAAGCAAACCATTCCCTCCTCGTCTGGGGAAAACTTTTTACATTTCATATACTTGAGCACTAAGACAGTTTCAGTTTTAAGTAGAGAAATAGAATATGAGGTTTAAAATTCGGTCTCCCGCTCCCATGTACACAAATGCCACTAAAACCTAAAGAGATCTATGGATGACTTGAATTCTCCTAGAAAACGCCCTTGACATATTCATTGCTCCCCTCCCCCAGCCAACAGCAAAAGAGCATTTTAGCCACTCAGCAAACAGCCTGGTATTCACATTAAGAAGGCAGTAAGGCATCCTTTTGACCTTTGTTATTACTTAGACCTCATGTTGTACATAAAAAGAGTACAATGATGTCCAACAAATTCCAGAAGAGAAGTATTTATTGCTGAATCTAAATCAAAAAATCCATATCTACTATAATGGCACTTCAGAAGAAGATATACTATATTTACCAGCTCAATCAATACTAAATTAGCTGGGATAAATATTTTCAACTCTACCAGTCTTCAGATGAAGCCTGTTATTTAAAACTCGTGTCCTGGGAGAGACAAGGAAATTTTTGCTTATCACACAGAAATGAGAACCAGGAAGCTCTGTGCAAGCAGGTTCACCTACCCTTAGCTGCTCTCTTTCACAATTCATCTGTTGTCTCGAAACCTACAAAGAAAAGAAAATGGGGGGTGGGGAGTCAGAAAGTTCTGCATAAGAGAAAGATAAAAGAAAATAGAAAGTTACTTTTAATCATTTGCCTCGAAGAGAACTGAAAATTCATTAATTATGTATTTAATTTTTCTTTAGGTCTATATAGCCCAAGCTTCACTTGGAGTTTCAAGTGTATGATCCAGCAACACAGCTAGGATGAGTCAGAGACTGGGATGGGATGAGGAGAGAAGTGTGGGAGAAGGTGTGGGAGGTAAAATCTGCCCAGGGGGAGGGCTCCCCTCTCGGCATGAAAACCCCCACTTGCCCTGTCTAACGGGCAGGTATTCCTCCCTGAAGGTGCACTTGAGGTGGTTGTGATAAGGCACTGGAGTGTCTTCTCCAGTGTTAAGGGCCAGTAATATCACCTACTCCATGCCTAGGCTAACAGGTTGTTGCATTCTATGGTCCAGTTCTATTTGGATGGTAGTAAGTCCCCATAGGACTGCTTTGGGGGAGGATTCTGAGATCAATGCGTACATCAGAGAAATTAACCCTGATCAATGTGTGATATCTGCCGTAACATCAAAAAGGAGAGATTAGCGATACGTACGCCATGCATTGATCATCCTTGCCCTGTCAACATGTTTCTCTTAACATCCAAGGATGCTGCTTTAGAGTGGCCATATAATTTATCATCCAAACAGGAAAAAAACATGTGAGTTAAGGGGACTATGTGGGGTGGTATTAAATGACTATGCCAAGAACACAGATGTGAAGTGAGGCACTCAAGGCAAACTGAGATATATGGTCACTCTACCTAAATGGGAACTGGTGGACTCTACCTTTAGCTCTAATGGCTAAGCTGAAATAAAGTTTAGGACTGCATTCTCAATTTCTTCTGTATCCTTCTGATATTTCCTTGACCAATGAAAAAACTCCTGATTCCTAGCACCTGACAGTATATTGCAAGTTACTGAAACTTTTACTAAGGGATAGGGAGGTTTAGGAAGTGACTTTTGATGTATATTTTATACATTTTGTATTGGAAGTTTTTTCCTACTTTCTCTAAAACAAAAACCAAGAGTCTTTACTTAGGATGCACCAGAACCCAAATCTATAAATCAGTCTGTTCTATGCCCTTTAACCTAGAAATATTACCTCTAAGAATAGCTCTTAAGAAAATAAGCAAAGATGTACACAAATGTTTATTTACTTGTCAATTAACCACAGCATTATTTATGAAAAAAGAAAGGATAAACATTACAATGTGTAATAATGGGAAAATAAAAAATAAATCATAATACACCGATATGATGGCATAACATACAGCACTTAGAAACATGATTTTTAAAAATAGAGACCCGGGAGATGCTAAGAAGGCACTATTTAGTTTTTAAGAAAAGCTGCAAAAGGGTACAAATGTCATGATTCCTATTTCGTGTTAAAAAAACATTGAAATGGATCATTAAAGAAAAGGGAAAAAAATTAAAATAGCTAGATTCCAAAAGTTTAAAAAGAAAATTAGTACAATTCTATAAATATACAAAAAAAAATCCCCACATGGAATTATATACTTGAAATAGGTGACTTTATTTTATGTAAATTTTCTCCATAAACTGTTTTTAAAAAGGAATTTGGGAAAAGTTTTAGAGACAGAGAGAGATTTGTGGTCACCAGAGGATTGTGGGAAGGGAACGGGGGAGGGGGTGGGGGTGGCTGCCTAACAGGTATGGAGTTTCTATTTGGGGTGATAAAAATGTTCTCAAACTGGACAATGACAGTTGTACAGCATTGCGAATGTACTGAATGCCACTAAATTGTATCCTTTAGAATGGTTAAAATGGTAAACTGTATTTTATGTGCATTTTACCACAATAAAATGAATGAAGTGGGAGGTGAGGTTCTGGTTCTTGACAAGATGGAGAGTGAACCCTCTTCGTCTGCCTCCCCCACTGGATGCAGCTGTGAAACCTGCAGAGCATGAAGCAGCTGAGATCTCTGAAAAGTAACCAGTAGCAGGTGGAGTGAGAACGAAGACCAGAATTTAAAATGCCAGCAGACAAGTGGTGAGTTCACCATGCACACCCCCACCAGCATCCCTGGTGTGGATGCAGGGTAGCCCAGAGCCCAGAATCGGACACCCACAAACAGACACAGAGAGACCCAGGAAAAGCCCTCTAGTTTTCTCTTGGGAAGCAGGAGAATGGGGAAAATTGCTATTGCTCTTCTTTTTTTCTGTTTTCTTTCTTTTTTATTTAATCTGTTCCCTGAGGCTGCGGTCTCTAGGAAATCTCAGGGTAGTGTTAGTGGCATCAGCATCAGTGGCAACCACGGGGACCCCAGACACCCAAGATCTAACAGGGGGAAACCTCCCTTGTGACCTGAGAGGCTGTGGTCCCAAGAGTTGGGGCAAACAAACCGCCGCGTTGCTTTATTTCTCTCTTCTGTTCTGTCGCCACTTGTGCCCAAATGTGGGCTCAGGAGAAGCACATGGACAGGGTTTAAGA